GGGGGCCTGCGTCTAGGTTCACAGTTGTTGCGCACACTTGTTGCTGGTAGCGCAGGCCATATATTTGAATAGGCTGGTGTACCTGCGAGAAACTCAGGGAAAGAAGTCCCCGACCCTTTTTTAAAAATGCGCCACGCCGTCTCACGTACATGAAAATGCAAGCGTTTTACCAATGTATGGGGGTTCCATTAGGAATTACTGGCACCCCTGCGTATCATGCAATGCGTTTTGCCTGTAGGTCGGAAATGCGTGCGATTATGCCGGCGTACCTGACCCACGCATATGAGATCCCAGCCTTAAGTTGAATTTTTTTCATATATACATTTAGACGCAGAATATTTCTCTTTATTACTAGATTTGCATCATTTAAGACCTAAAACCGGTCGCAATGCTTGCCCCGTTCGCGGCTTCGTATTTGTGAGTGTAGCAAATAAATATCTACGCCAAAAAAGAAACAAACAGCTCCGGCGTCTATATTTGTGCGCAGGGAGCGCAGAGATCCCCATGGGTGGCCGCTGAATCTGGAGGGAGAAGGTAACCCGATAGGAGGAACGCGATCTCCTATTATTTCACAGCCGCGCACAATTAATAAGCACTGACACTGGTTTTATCGGCGGGTAATTGCAGCTATCGCTTTCCGGGGGGGGGGGTCACTCTTCCAGCCTATTATGGACTGACGAACCGTCAGCTTAGAAGGCGATTTGCCTCCGTCACAGTAGAAGCGCTCGCAGTGTGCGCCGGGTTTTATTTCACATCTTTTCTAATCACTGGAAACCATTCATGAAAGCTCAACCGGCCCGAAACCTGCTTACATTGCTACCCTGCAAACTGGAAGGCGATTGGTTAGAAGGCCCAACCGGACTTTATAGTAAGAAAAAAAAAAAATTTGAAGGAATGGTTACATTTTATAACCTGATTATGATCTCAGGCATGCTGGGCTGAAAGGATAAGTTCACCGTTTGGACAAAAGTACTAAATGCACATTTGGTTGCAGGTAAAAAAAAATGTGCATTTATTATTTTTGTCCAAAGGAGCCTGGAAAGCATTGTAGCAGCGATCAGTAGATTGCTGATGTCATGAAGGTCTCTTGCAGACCTGTCAGAATATCTGCTTACTGTATGGGGTGTACGGGATGTACAGGGTGTATGAGATGTATGGGATGTATGGGGTGTACGGGATGTACGGGGTGTATGAGATGTATGGGGTGTACAGGGTGTATGGGATGTCTGGGGTGCACAGGATGTAGGGGATGTATGGGGTGTACGGGATGTACAGGGTGTATGGGATGTACGGGGTGTATGGGATGTACGGGGTATACAAGATGTATGGGGATGTATGGGGTGTACGAGAAATATGGGATGTACGGGATGTATGGGGTGTACGTGATGTATGGGGTGTATGGGGTGTACGGGGTGTAATGGTTGTATGGGATGTATGAGGTGTACGGGGTGTATGGGATGTACGGGATTATGGAATGTATGGGATGTACAGGGTGCATGGGATGTACGAGGTGTATGGGATGTATGAGGTGCACGGGATGTACACGATGTATGGGAATGTACGGGATGTAACGGTTGTATAGGATGTATGAGGTGTACGGGGTGTATGGGATTATGGGGTGTATGGGATTATGGGATGTACGGGATGTATGAGGTGCATGGAATGTACAGGATGTGTGGGATCTATGGGATGTACGAGGTGTATGGGGTGTACAGGATGTACAGGGTGTATGGGATTATGGGGTTTCGGGATGAGCAGGGTGTATTGGATGTACGGGGTGTATTGGATGTACGGGGCGTTTGGGATGTACGGGGTATACGGGATGTATGGGATGTATGGGGTGTATGGGATATACGGGGTCTACAAGATTATGGGATGTACGGGATGTATGGGATATACGGAGTGTATGGGATGTACGGGGTGAATGGGATATACGGGGTCTACGAGATTATGGGATGTACAGGATGTGCAGGATGTATGGGGTGTACGGAATATATGTGGTGTGCGGGATGTACGGGGTGTGAGGGATGTGTGGAATGTATGGGGTGTACAGCCAAGCTGATATTCTACCACAGAGCTCCACAGCTGCTGGGACTTGCAGTTCATTCATTAATGGAAGTCCTTGAATGAATGATACGGCCATGTGGGTGGAACAGTCTCAGACAGTCCTCTCAAGCCTTATATGTACAGTGGGGCAAAAAAGTATTTAGTCCCCACCAATTGTACAAGTTCTCCCACTTACAAAGATGAGAGCGGTCTGTAATTGGCATCATAGGGAGACCTCAACTATGAGAGACAAAATGAGAAAACAAATCCAGACAATCACATTGGCTGATCTGGAAAGAATTTATTTGCAAATTATGGTGGAAAATAAGTATTTGGTGAATATGAAAAGTTCATGTCAATACTTTGTTATATATCCTTTGTTGGCAATGACAGAGGTCAGACGTTTCCTGGAAGTCCTCACAAGGTTGGCACACACTGTTGCTGGTATGTTGGCCCATCCTCCATGCAGATCTCCTCTAGAGCAGCGATGTTTTGGGGCTGTGGCTGGGCAACACAGACTTTCAGCTCCCTCCAAAGGTTTTCTATGGGGTTGAGATCTGGAGACTGGCTAGGCCACTCCAGGACCTTGAAATGCTTCTTACGAAGCCACTCCTTCGTTGCCCGGGCGGTATGTTTGGGATCATTGTCATGTTGGAAGACCCAGCCACGTTTCATCTTCAATGCCCTTGCTGATGGAAGGAGGTTTGCACTCAAAAATCTCACGATACATGGCCCCATTCATTCTGTCCTGTACATGGATCAGTCGTCCTGGTCCCTTTGCGGAGAAACAGCCCCAAAGCATGATGTTGCCACCCCCATGCTTCACAGTAGGTATGGTGTTCTTTGGATGCAACTCAGCATTCTCTCTCCTCCAAACACGACGAGTTGTGTTTCTACCAAACAGTTCTATTTTGGTTTCATCTGACCATATGACATTCTCCCAATCCTCTTCTGGATCATCCAAATGCTCTCTAGCAAACTTCAGACGGGCCCAGACATGTACTGGCTTAAGCAGGGGGACACATCTGGCACTGCAGGATCTGAGTCCCTGGCGGCGTAGTGTGTTACTGATGGTAGCCTTTGTTATGTTGGTCCCAGCTCTCTGCAGGTCATTCACTAGGTCCCCCCCCCGTGTGGTCCTGGGATTTTTGCTCACCGTTCTTGTGATCATTTTGACCCCACGGGGTGAGATCTTGCGTGGAGCCCCAGATCAAGGGAGATTATCAGTGGTCTTGTATGTCTTCCATTTTCTAATTATTTCTCCCACAGTTGATTTGTTCACACCAAGCTGCTTGCCTATTGCAGATTCAGTCTTCCCAGCCTGGTGCAGGTCTACAATTTTGTTTCTGGTGTCCTTCGACAGCTCTTTGGTCTTCCCCATAGTGGAGTTTGGAGTGTGACTGTTTGAGGTTGTGGACAGGTGTCTTTTATACTGATAACAAGTTCAAACAGGTGCCATTGATACAGGTAATGAGTGCAGGACAGAGGAGCCTCTTAAGAAGGTACAGGTCTGTGAGAGCCAGAAATCTTGCTTGTTTGTAGGTGACCAAATACTTATTTTCCCACCATAATTTGCAAATAAATTCTTTCCAAATCAGCCAATGTGATCGTCTGGATTTGTTTCCTCATTTTGTCTCTCATAGTTGAGGTCTACCTATGATGCCAATTACAGGCTTCTCTCATTTTTTTAAGTGGGAGAACTTGCACAATTGGTGGCTGACTAAATACTTTTTTGCCCCACTGTGTATATATATACATATTGACCATTATGTGCGGCCCTTTAGTGATGTCAGGGGCCACATTTAAGGCCCCCATAACTCATAGGTTGACAGCCACTTTTCTAGAGGGATACCACAGGTATGATATATACATGGACCAATGTATATAAGTAAAACTATACATACCTGGAATCCTTCTTTAACCTAAATGTTGTAGAGATCTGATATTAGGAGTGGTTGAGTAGTTTAACAAAAGACCCTGGGTAGGGCTGACACCACTCAGTCCACAAAAATGCAGTGTGTTATCAGCCCACAACAGGGCTTAGAAACTGAGTGGGCTGACAACTCACAGCATTTTTTTGGACTGAATGGTGTCAGCCCTGCTCAGTGTCTTCTGTTAAACTACTCAACGGGTATTTTCCTGCACTTGCAGGGTCTTTAAAAACATAAAACATGAGGAAATGGACATGTATTGCAGAGATATACTGCATATATTCTTTGTTATTTTGCCTTGGCATACGCTTTAAGCGAGTCACCCCTTCAAGTTCTGAGACAATTTTCCGCTGGGATGAGTTGGCCTCAGAGCCTCATCCCTACAAGCCTACCACAATACCCTCTATAGCAGACATCTCCGCCCCAATATTACGTATTGCTTCTAATATGTAACCTGGACAGGCATTGCTTACTTAGGAGATGAAGGAAAAGGTCCATGGCCATGGGCCAGTCTTAGCTTAGTGGTAAGTCATAGCGTGAAGGTACTTGAAGCGTTTAGAGACAACAATACATGTACAATTGGAGGTTTTTTATTAGTTGCATAGTCATTAGCTCTTAAGCCAGCCATACGTGGATCAAAGTTCGGCAGGTTAGGTGTACAGAAGTCGTTGTCTCAAATGATTTCTGTACAGCCAGCCTGTCCGTTTTTTTTTTTGCTCGATCAGTACCTAGTGGGCCATTCATCCTATTGACTACCATCACTCTTATGGACAGTAAGACATCTCACCTAATGTCATTCTCAAGAAGACATCTGCCTGTCCTTGGTTACTCCAACTTTCTTAAATGCCCTTTCATTGGTTTCTTTAGGTTTGTACATCATATAGTTGATACGATGTATCTACAACTCATAGGTTTTCTGGTGTTGCTGCCATTATTGTTAACTCATTGTCGATATTTAGGCTCTCATGTTTCGTTTTCTACCTACTTTTTACAGACAACAGTGGTGACTCCACTCCATCCACCATGGAGATCCTGGGCTCAACACTGACGTCTACCTATGCCCGACCTCGGCCAACTCCTACCAACTTTCTGCCAGCCATATCCACAATGGCATCGAGCTACAAGAATCGGTTTCCTCACTATACTCTGAGCCATAGTTTGAGTCTACCATGGAGGCCCAGCACCTACTACAAAGTTGCCTCAACCACCCCGACATTGGCTCCCCTACCCACCACAACCACCCCCACCCAACCCCCCCACAAGTCCAAGAGTGCTCCTGGACTAAGTCCAGCTCAGATTCTTCCCTTCGCCTCCAACAGAACTGCACTTTTCACTAGGTACTCCCCCGACGACTGGTACAAATCCAACGAGAACAATTATAGGGGTTCGGAGTCTTCCAGACGTAGTGCTGAGAGGCTTCGGGCGGACACCAGCCGTCTCATTCAAGAGAAGGATCAGAAGACCAGAAGGACTCAGACAGACACCAGCAAAGATTTAGGAGAGCGGGTCAATGACATTGTCTTCTGGAAGTCCGAGATCATTCACGAAATTGACCAGATGATCGGTGAGACCAATGCTCTTTCAGACGTCAAGAGGCGCTTGGAGAGGGCACTTGCAGAAACAGAAGGACCTTCGCAGGTAAGAAAAAATATTTGGGTTCCCAGGATACAGTGGGCTGGTATTCATTTCCAAGAAAATTGGATAGAACATTTGTTATCACCTTCTCATGAAATAATATTTACTTCACTTAAAGTTATACATATAGATGCCAATGTAAGAAGGTGTATACCTTATGTCGTCTGCTTAGGTCAGTGTATAACTACCAGGGACGCACTGGAAACCTCCGACTTTGGACAGCCAACTAGTCTTTTAAGGATAGTGAAAATTTCTGTAGGATAAAAAACAAATGTACTATGCAAATTGTGCCACCGTGCTTCAACGATTGATGGATTGGTAAAGTCGGTGTTCCTGAAAGACAGTTTTATTGTGACATCTCACATTTTTTAGACTTCGCTTTCTTTGTACCTCTCAGTATTTCATCAGACGCTGTGATCACAGTTTTGAACAGGGAGCAGGTAGCTATTAGGGATGAGCTCGCTTTTGTTCAGAACCAGGTTCGAGTCCAAACCCAGAAGACAACTGTCACTCTTGGTCTATTGAGCTGCGAGCTAGGGATTCCTCACCCTGCAGCTGACGGTACAACAATGCAAGGATTCTCGTGACATCATTGACCCAATAGGACATCCCCGACCCTTTGTAATGTTAGCTGTAGGGTGGGGAATCTCCTGTCCGCAGCTCATTGGAACAAGAATGATAGCTGACTTCTGGGTATTGACTCAAACCTGGTTCCAAACAAATGCAAGCTCATTCTAAGCATATATAATGCTCAGAACTTGTCCTTGACTGCTTTTCCCAGTCTAACTGATGCTTAAATGGTGAAGTATCTCCACACAAGGTCACCAGCCCCAGCATATCTTACTGGTACTTTTTGCCCCAAACTCTTCCCTGATGAACACCTAAAATCTGCGTATGATAGACATTTATTTCCTAAAATGGGCCGCTGGTGCTTGGAAGAGTGAAGGATTGAGTCCTAATCCAGGGTCTCCTAGAGTAAGTCTCAATCCACCATCAGCGCCAGATGAGGATAATGGCATGTCCCACATTCATGTGAGAACAGGCAAATATGTTCCCACCTGTCCATTTTAGGAAATACCCAGCTTCCCAGAATGCTTATGGTCAGAAATGGTGCTAATTCAAAGCACTGTTCTAAACCAGAACTGCCAGACTGCTCTCTCCCTCCTCCTGTGCCTTCAGCCAGTTGCAGATCCCCTAACTTACTGTAGTACCTCCCAGTGCCCATAGTGCCCTCAACCTCCAATCATTTTACGCAGGTCCTCCCATCCTCCAACAGTGCCCCCCCCACCAACTTACTGCAGAGCCTTCAGCACACCAAAGTGGCCCTAACCTTCAACAGTGTCCTGCTGTGCCTCCCAACCTCCCACAGTGTCTCCTGACCCTCCGAAGCTCCACAGTGTCCTTGCAAAGCGCCCAACCTCCTGAAGAGCCCCCCCCCCCCCCCCCAGCAACCTCATCCCCTACAAAGCTACCAAGTCTTCTGCAGAGTCCCACAACCCCTTCTAAAAACCCCATTCCCCCCACAGTGACACTCAGCCCCAGCCAGAGCCTTTCAACATTTCAATACATATTTTGCATCACCATACTTTTATTTTGGGAGTATAAACTTTTTTTTCTACTGTTGAGTCATGGAAGTTGTTGGAAGAATCTACTGGTTCCTGGTCTCAGTAAGGTTGAGAACCACTGCTCTAACTCCAGAGCAATGTTTGCCTAGATCAAGCTGTCTGTGACCTTCCTTGACTTGATCTTCTGAGGTCCTGGATGAGAAATTGATTTTGTCTGAGATTATTATCAGTGTCCAAGTGTTTTCCTTGTATCTAAGTGTCTGTGAGAGCTTTAATAGTGCCATTGTCACGTAATCCATTGGCAAACACAACTCAGGCTGGCATATAAAATGGATCTCATGAACCAGTCGGCAGGACTCAGACAAACACAGTGCGCAGTCAGTTGTTGACACACTGGTAATCCCCAGGTAGTTGCTGAGGGACCGGCAGTACAACAAAGACGCATTGACCTACTTATTGTCTTTATAAAGTCACAGCTGTGTGTAGGTTCACCTCTTCACCGGAGGAGGTTGTCTTGGAGTAGTGCTGCCGGTAGACATAAGATCACATTCGGTTGGCTGATGGTCTTATCAGCAGTGTATTTACCGCAAGGCAAGCAAGGCTTTTGCCTGGGGTGGCAATTTTCAGGGGGGGTGGTGCCACCCCCCCCCTGCTGTCATAAGACAGCCGCTTCCCCAACAAGCTCATCCAAGCTCCCTGCTTTCCCTGCTGGCTCTCCTGCAGGTTCCCCAATCCTGCCCCTGCACATGGAGCTTGTCAGGAATGGACTCAGCACTGGTGGTGGGACTCACCTGCCGTGTGGGCTGCAGTACCAGGGCTGACCAGCGGGTGCTCTCAGCAGCCAGAAGCTCACTTCTGCAGTCAGCCAACACCTGGGTCTAAGTACAGCAGGTGTATTTAAGGAATGACCAGGCCTGTGATCTGGGCCTTGGTGTCAATGTTTCCCATGAGCCCTTGTATCCTGTATCTTGTTCCTGTTCCTGTAAGTACGTTTTCTTGTTGCCAAAACTCTGCCTGTTCTGTTTTATGCTGACCCTCTCCTGCTCTGACCCCGGCTCGTTCCTGACCATCCTTCTCCTGATCCTCGGTACCACGCTGCCCACTACCTGCTGAACCTGGCTTGTGACCCTGACCATTCTCCGCTTGCTCCTCCTGTACCACGCTGCCCGCACGATACCGACCTGTCTGACCTCGCTCACTCCTAGCAGTCATCCATCCATCCTGCTCGGATCGGGACCTGTCATCCCCTTCACAGCAGGCTCATCCCGGGCACACACCCTCAGCGGGACCCCTCTACCACCGCCGGGGGTGCCCAGGGGCGTGACCTGGTTCCAGTCTTGCACCAAGTCCATCCCCACCATCAGGGGCTCTGGTGAAAAGGCAGACTGGGACTTAGACTCCGCGTCCTGGGAAACCCCGTGCTGTGGACCACTAGAGATCCCATTGGGCGGAGCCTGACAGTACCTTGCGTCCTGCCTGACCATTCCACCTCTCCAGCCCTGACTACGCCTGTGTTCTTGAAGCCTGCTACTTCCCTGTGTCAGTCCACACATTTCTGGTCATACCCGGATCCCTAACAGAGCTGATGCACCTGTCCCCAGCAGGAGCAAGCCATCTCCTCGGTGGGAGTTGAGGAGGACCTGGCTGCCCTGGCTGTCACATCCTTCATGCTGTGGTACCGCTCTCTACCCCATCCTCTCCCTCCGGAGCCGCTCTTCACCCAGAGCCCCCTCTTCGACACCGCTGAACACACGCTGGAATTCCCTTGTGGTGTTGGGGGCTGCGGTTGCAGATGGTAGTGGTTGTGGCCCGGATGGGGGGGTTGGCGTATGGTTTTAATGCTGCCTAGGGCACAAGTGGTAAATACACTGCTGCTGGTCTTATGTCAACGGCTGACCCCTGACCTGATATAAGGGGTATAGTACCCTCACATATCCACCTCCCATCTCCATTCACATGAACATCATTACAAAGTTGGGTGGATCATACATGATCATCTGACCACCATCATAGGTCTTGGGGTGGCCTTGGGTTGCCCAGTCCCACCAACACAAGAACTCAGTCAGGATCAGGGTGTTTATAACTACCCTAGTCATACCATATGGTTTTTGTTTTTTGCACTGGGTGCCCATCACAGGACTTTCAGCTGTGAAGCTTTTTGTGTCTCCTAAATATAACCCATGGCTACCACTTAAAGGGGACCTGTCATCAGTTGTATTTTACATATTCAGTGCAGTTTTCTAAGTAATATGTCAGAGTAACCCTTCCAGGTATTTATTACCTCTCCCAGAGATCACACTACTCCCTCTTACAGTGTCTTCATCTGCTTTTCTCTCCAGAAGGATGGCACCATCTTTGTTCAGGCACCATCTATCTACTTCCTAAACTGAGATGCTGGGTAATAGATGACACAATCATGTAAATCCTGGTGCCTGTGCAGTTTCTTGGCTGTATTCACAAATGTCTCAGGCAGCCTTCACTACTGGGTGGCAAGTTCATCCAGGGGTGAGGGCAAAGATACCAAACTGCACCCCCCCTTCATGATGTGCAAGCTTAAGATTCCTACACCCAGCAGTCACTTGCTTGTCAAGATCACTGCCACTGTCACTACTCCTGTCAACCTCATCCCTACAGAAAACCATTGTGCCCAGAGTATCTGCCCCTCCTGCCCACCCCTTGTCCCAGCCATGCATTAGATGCACAATAATGCATGAATGGAGCTGCAGACACTCTCTGCAATGCACGTGTGTTTCAGAATACCACAATGGGAACCATCTGTGTGGTGGGCAGGGGCTGTGGATAAGGGGGTACCACCAGTCCTCCTGGGTGAATCGGATGTGGTCAGGGAAGGTGATTGGCAGGGGGGTGGGGAAATCTCTGGAAACGATCCCCTGTATGGCTCTCTCTGCAGCAGCTGAAATTCGGCTTGTTCTCCTCTCCCTCTTGCTGGCTTTCAGCTGCTGCAGAGAGAGCCATACAGGGGATCGTTTTTTTTAAATCCCCCAGCCACTCCCATCATCCTCTCTGTGCACCATAGGTTCCCCCCCCCCCTCCAGGCATCCCCTGTGTGCCCAAACCCCACAGTACTGCTGGCTTCTCTCCTTTCCTTCCCACCGGCAGCTAAAAGCACATAATAGAACCCTGAAAGATGGAGTAGAGGAAGCTTCTGGTAGGGGATCATTGGGCCCCTGTGTCCATGCCCAAACTCAAAAAAGCCTATGAAAAAGGTACCAGGGGCATCTCATGGGCCCCCTACCGACCCCGGGCCCTCGGGCTGTGCCCGAGTTTCCAAATGGTCAGTCCGCCCCTGGTACCAATCACTCATTGTAATTGCCCCCTCCAGTGCAACCATCACCCTCCCTGTGCACCATGCCCCCCTGTGTGTTCCACCCCCGCAGTGCTGCTGGCTGCCCTTCTCTCCTTACCACCAGCAGCTGC